TGCCAGGCAGGCGCTTTTGCCACTGAGCTAAATCCCCAGCCCCGCAGTCCAAATCTTAAGGAAATGTGAGAGGGTCCTGAGAGGCAGTGCCTCCAGCAATGTCAAGTCTAGGCCATCCTATCAAAACCTGCTTGAGAAATGCATGAACCACTCTGGGCATGTGTCCCTGGATCTTGTAATTAACAGGTCACACCTACTTCCCCACCCAGTTTTGCCGTGCCTTAATCCTCTGTGTCACTTCCATCCCTGTATGATCATTTTGATGATTCATTGCATTTGCCAATATCTTGAGGATTCTGTGTCTATTTTTATTAAAGAAATGGGCTTGTAGTTCTGTTTTTTGTTTGGGTCTTTGTCTGGTTTGGAATCAGAGTAATGATAGCTTGTAAGAATGACTTTGGAAGTACCCTTTCCCTTTTAATTTCATTAGAGTTTGAGGCCTTAAATTTTCCCTGACATTCTTGTAGAATTCAGTGGTAAACCCATCTCGGGCTTTTCTTAGTTGGCAGGTTGTTCTGTTGTTGTTTTCATATTTTGGGGGTTTTTTTTAACTGCTTCATTTTCATTGCCTGTTATTGGATTATTCAGGGTTTTAACATTTTCTTAGTTTGGTTTTGATTATTCATATTTATGTAGAACTCTATCCATTTATTCCAGATTTCCAATTTATTGGAGTAGTACAGGTTTTCATAATATTACTAGTAATCTTCTAGATTTCAGTGGTGTCCATTCTAATTTTTCCTTTCTTGTTTCTAGTTGCACTGATTTGGGTCTTTTCTTTCCTTTTTTTTGGTAAAATTGTCTAAGGATTTGTCTTTTGTTTATTCTTTCAAAGAACCAACTCTTTGATTCATTGATTCTTTTTATTGTTTTTTAGTCTTAATTTCTATCTGGTCTTTATAATTTCCTTCCTTGTACTAGCTTTGGGTTTGAATTGTTCTTATTTTTCTGAAACCTTGAACTGCATTATTAGGTTACTTATTGGGATCACTTTGTTTTCCCGATGGAAGCGTTTATAGCTATAAACTTCCCTCTTAGGACTGTTTTCATTGTGTTCCATAGGTTGTGGTATGTTGTACTGGCATTATCGATTGATTCTAAAAACTAATTTCTTCCTTAATTTTCTCTGTGACCCATTGATTATTCAAGAGTGTATTGTTTAGCTGAGTGTGGTGGTGTAAGCCTGTAATCTCAGCATTCTGGAGGCTGAGGCAGGAGTATAGCCATGAGTTTGAGGCCAATTAGGCACATAGTGAGACCCTGTTATGAGAAAAAAAAAATGTATTGTTTAATCTGCATGTGTTTGCATAATTTCTGTAGAGTTTTGGGGAGGTTTTTTTTTGCCAATGATCTCTAGTTTCATCGCACTATGGTCTGGAAATTGCGTAGGATAGTTTCAGTTCTTTTGTACATATTTAAGAATGCGTTATGGACTAGTATGTGATCTATCTTGGAAAAAGTTCCATGTGCTGCTGAGAAGAATGTGTATTCTATTATGGTTGAATGGAACACTGTAGATACCTGTTAAGTCTTACTTGTTCAGAGGTTTGGTTCAAATCTGATATTTCTTTGATATACTTGTTAACCTATTTTGTGACAATAGGGTATTCTCTCATTATAGGGATTTTTAAAATTTCATTCCTTTGATGTAGCTCAAGTTTTTTGTGGGCTTTGTATTTCCTCATTATTACCAATTAAATGTAGAAGTTTCATGGTTTCAGAACTGATATTCAGAGGAAAGACTACTTCTTAGAAGGTATTATATTCTTTATTAAGAAGCATGTAATGTTTTTCTTTTTGTTTTTTGAACAACCATTGCTGTGCAATCCTGTCTTAATTCACTAATGTATAATGGTAATTGGAACTCAGTACTGTAATTCCTTCTCCATTTATATTACTTTTATACAAGGCCGGGTGTGGTGGCACAAGCCTGTAATCCCAACATGGGAGGCTGAGGCAGGGGGATCATTGCGAGTTCGAGACCAGCCTTGGATACAAAGTGAGCTCAAGGCCAGCGTGAACTGCATGGGGAAACTTTGTCTCAAAAAAAAAAAAAAAAATCTATTTTTGATCCAATTAAATGCAGGGGATGGGATGATATATTACTTTTTTACAAAGAAACAGTCAGTTTGCTAGTTATATGGTGTGACATTCATACAGAAGTATGATCAGCATTTAAATGCTTGCCTTTTTTTTTTCTTTCAGGTGGTACTGGGCATTGAACTTGGGACCTTTGCACTGAGCTGTTTCCCCAGCCCTTTTTATTTGTTATTTTGAGGCAGAGCCCTGCCCTGTCACTAAATTTCTTAGGCTGCGGTCAAACTTGTGGTCTTTGCTTAGGCTCCCAGAGTGCTGGGATTATAGGCATGCACCATGATACCTGGCATACTCTTGCCTTTACATCTCAGTTTTTACAATAAAGTTGGTTCCTAACCATTCTTCAGAACTAACCATTTAGGTTTTTAAATATATGTAAATTTGAGCTCGTAGATGTAGATATATTTGAAATATTTATATCCATTGCAGATAATCATCTTTCATGATACTCAGGTTGTTCTGTCTTAGGTAATAAATTTCATTCAAGTTGGTTCGCATTTTTTTTTCTTTTCTTTTCCTTTTACCTTTTCTTTATCCAGTATTGGAGGTTGAACCCGGGCATTACATCTCTAGCTGTTTGTTTGTTTGTTTGTTTGTCTGTTTTTAGACAGTCTCACTGAGTTGCTCAGGCTGACTTCAAACTTAGAACCCCCCTGCCTCAGCCTCCTGAATAGCTAGGATTATAGGTGTGTGCCACCATGCCTGGCTGATTCACCCTTTTAATTCAATACTAATAGTTCTTGGTAACTTCCTTGCCAACTATTAAGATAACGTGGTCCAGACAAATATCTCATATACTTCCTGTTCTGTTCCAGATCTGGAATTAGTCTTTTCTCTAATAAATTCTGCTTTCTTTGAATGGGAAATAGTATTTCAGCACTGCAGTCTTGAGTAATAGGAATGCTCATTACTTCTGATTTGGTCATTGTTTCTAGATCTCTTCAGTAGACAGAGTTAGATAATTCTCATTTCTCTCCCTGTCCATCCTTCTCCTTCCCTTTACTTCCCTCCCTCCCTTCCTTTCTTCCACCCTCCCTTTCTTGCCCTCTCCATCTCTCCTTCTGTGTATATGTATGTACAGTCAATTGTCACTTAATAATGGGATATATTCTTTTTTTTTGGTACTGGGAATTGAACTCAGGACCTTGCACTTATCAGGCAGGTGCTTGTTCTGCTGAGCTATATCCCCAGCCCTTTTTTTTGAATAATGGGCTGTATTCTGAAAAATGTGTTATTGGGCAATTTTGTCCTTGTGCAGAAATCATAGTATATACTTACAAAAACCTAGGTGGTGTATGGCCTATCTAGCACATACCTAAGCTATGTGGTATATACATCATTACGCAGTATATATACATACATACATACACACATACACATATACACACTTGCCTGACTTGTTTCATTATACGTTATATAGAAAATGTATTCATAAAATATCAACACTGTCACTTACATGCTTACTGAAAAGAATATATATTATATGCATGTATGCACATATCTGAATGGAAGGATAGATAGATAGAGAGATAGATAGATAGATAGATAGATAGATAGATAGATAGATAGTCTATCTGTCTGGGAAGCAAGTAGAGAAGCCATTAGTTGAGAATGCTGTTTACATTAAATATTCCAGCAGAGGTTCATTGTATTTCCTACAGAAATAGAGTCGGTCCATGGCTGGCACAGAGGTCTGCGTACCTGAGTGTCCTCCACTGGAAGGGAAGTGTGGAAGGAGAGTATAGATCCAGCCTGTGAGCTTTGGTCCAGCAGACAGAATGTCTGTTGTGAGCAGAGCACTAGGCTGGATACCTGACATACTCATCCTTACAAAGTGCAAGATGAGCAGTGAATACATGTTACTATACAATTTGAATACACATTAGTAACTTCAAAATAAGCCCAAAGGTACTACTTTAAGAGTATCTTAAGCAAGTTATAGCTAGAGTATTTTTGTTAACTGATGATGCCTTGCAGAAAAGTAGGTAGCAAAATGCAATATACGGTGATTGAAAACCAGCATGAGTTCAGAGAGGAAGCTGACAGTGGCAAAGCGCCTGCCTGGCAAGCGCAAGGTCATGAGTTCGGCTCCTGGTACCGGAGAAAAACCAAAAAAAAAAAAAAAAGTTAAAAAGTTAAAAAGTTAAGCAGAGAGGAAGCTGAAAAGCAGCTAGCATAGGATAGGAAGTGGAGGGCATGTGGAGGATAATCAGCTGGGAAGGAGTAAATTCCTCAGTACTCACTTGGCCTCTAGCAAGAGAGGATTCCGTGCCACCTCTGCCCTTCTGAACTGCTAAGGTTAGCTCATTCATTTGTCCTTCAGCGAAGCTTCTTGCTGTGAGATTTCTGGAACTGGACATAATAATGTCCTTAGGGGCCCTCATAAATAAGTTTTTCCTTTCAACCAGAGTTGATAAAATAAGATGCTTCAGGGCTATTAGCTACCTTTTTGAAACAACTTTTTGGGATATAGTTCATGTACATAAAATTCATCCATTTTTAAATTTACAGTTCAGGGATTTTAGTAAATTTACAGAGTTGTGCAACCATCACCACTAATTTTTTAATTTTTTCATCAACCCAGAAAGTTAGTCTTCAGTTAGTCTTCACCTCAACAGCCAGCCCCAGGCAAGTCCTAGTCTACTTTGTGTCTCCATAGATTTCCCCTCTCTGAATATCTCATATAAATAGACCACATTTCTGGTCTTTCACATCTGGCTTATTTCACTTAATGTAATGTGCTTAAGATTCATAGATGTCGTAGCATAGATCAGCAGTGTGCCACTACCTTTTAACCTGCTCATGCATACAGTCAGGTATTTTGAGATCAGTTGCAGTTTCATGATTCTGGTTTTCTGAAGTCCATCCTTTATGTGACATTTTCTTTATCATTTTCTTCCTAGGATTTGGTGGCTTTTGAACATCAGTGGACTAACTTCTTCGCTAATTTTGACACAGAAATTCCTTTCCTACTGGAACTTTCAGAATCTCAGGCTGGTGAGGTATGTAAAAGAAGAGTGAAAGAGTGAAGAAATTGGTTGATTTGTATATTGTTTATATTTGTTATTTAAATTTTTATTCTCATTGTGGTGGTGCAAAACTGTAATCTCAGTACTCAGGAGACTGAAGCAGGAGGATCATCATGAGTTCAAGGGCAGTCTGGGTTACATAGTGATTTCAGGGCCATGCTGAACTGCATAGCAAGACCGGTCTCAAAAAAACACCACCAAAATTATCCTCAAAATACAGCACAATCCTAATTCATTTTGGCTATTATTTCCTTAAGCTGTGTTGTATGCCAGAAAAAATGCCCCTGCTGTGCCTGTCCATATAGAAAAAGTTGTTTTGAGGACAGAGGTGCATCAGCATAGTAGAGTGCTTGTGAGGCTGTGAGTTCAACCCTCAGTGCCTCAAAAAAAATTTTTTGTTGTTTTTTTTCCTGTGCCACCTTCTCTACTAGAAGGAAATTCACTTTTCAATCAGTGGTGCTTCTGTGAGCTGGGAATTTATTGAGCACTAGTTACTAATTCTCCATGTGTAAGTAACACAGCTTTGTTAGCCGAACCTCCAGATCATGAATGTGGAGCTGCCTTTCCAAGCAAACTGATGGTGAGCAGTTACCAGGTTCAGACTAAGACCTGCTCCATGAGTGAAGTAAAGTAGTTAAGTGCGGCCAAGGCACAGGGCAGTCACAAAAAGTGGCCCACAGGAAGGATGAGGAGGGCTGGCTTGCACTGCCCGGAGTCTTCCTTGGGCTTACACTGCCAGTCCTTCTGCAGGGCATGCTGTGGCCCAGACCAAGCCCTCCTCCTGATCATTTGGAGCTGGAGTTGTTCTTGTCATGCATTTGAACAATGTTATGTTTTTAAAAATTTAATCAGTGAGAAAAAGTCTTACATGTTTGCCCACGTCATTACTTTCTCTGGTGCTCTGTTTTCTCTACATAGGCCCGGATTTCCACTTGGCATCCTGCTTTCAGAAGGATGTCCTATAACATTTCTTGTGGTTCAGATCTTCTGATAATGAATCTGTCAGCTTTTGTATGTCTGAAAAAAGTGTTTCACCTTCATTTTTAAAAGAAAATTTTGCCATATGTGGATTTTATTTTATTTTATTTTATTTTATTTTGGTTCTTTTCCAGTACTGAGAATCGAATTCACGACCTTGCGCTTGCCAGGCAGGCGCTGTGCCACTGAGCTAAATCCTCAGCCCCTTTATTTTATTTTTGATACCAGGAATTTAACTCAGCACCTTGTGCTTGCAGGGCAGGCACTGTGCCACTGAGCTATATCCCCACCCCATATGTGGATTTTAGGCTGACAATTTTCTCCTTTCAGTGCTTGAACGACGTTGCCCCATTCTGTTCTCATGCACATTGTTTCTGGTGAGAAGTGTCTCACCCTAATCTTTGATTCTCTGCCCATACCAGGTCTTTATTTTCCCTCTGGAGGCTTTTAAGATTTTCTCTTTATTACTGGTTTGAGCAGTTTGATTAACCATGTTGCTGGAGTTTTCTTCGTGTTTTTTGTGTTTGAGCTTCTTAGTTTGGTGAACTTAGTTTTTGTCAGGCTTACACAGTTTTTGTCCAGTATTTGTTCAAATATTTTTTTCTGTCCCAAAGGTCTCTTCTTTCCTTTAGGGACACTAGTTACCCTTAAAATAGACTATTTCAAGTTGTCCCTTATCTCCCTGATGCCTTTTCCAGTTTTTAAAATTTTTTTCCCATCTCTTATTACTATGGCTAAAAGAGTTAAAGATATTGGAAAAGGGTTTTTGATTTATGTGTTCTGTGTGATTTGTACAAATGACAGATACATGTATATTTTCTTATATCCTTTTCTTTCTTGCATTAAAGAGTAGCATGGAGTTATTTCCATTTTGCTCTTTTACCTAATAATAAGTCCTAGAACTTACTCCAAATTATTTGATTGAAATTTTCTGATTTTTTTTTAACCCCTGATACTAGGGATGAAACCTAGGGACTTGAGGGTATGCTAGGCAAGTACTTTACCACTGAGCTACATCCCCTCTGAAAATTTCCTCATTTTTTACAGTTTGTGGTACTCCATTATGTGGATTTATCTTAATTTATTCAACTGCTTGCTTATGTATACATGTGTAGGTTATTTTCATTATTTTACCATTGCAAATAGAACCAGAGTAAATAACTTTGTACTTATGTATTTTCATATGGTTAGAGGGGTATATACCTAGTAATGGGATAGCTGGGTCTAAAGGTAAGCACATATGTAGTTGTGTTAGCTGTTGCCAAATTCCCTCCAAAGGAGGGTGTACCATCCTAATTTGCATTCTCACCAACAATGTATGAGAGTTCCTGTTCCTCCACACCCTCATGGACGGAGTATGTTGTCGTACTATAAAAGATTTTGCAGTCTTATAGTATTGTTTTAATTTATCTTTTTCTAATTATGAGCAAGTTTGAATATTCTTTCATATATTTATCATTTTTAGTATATGAAGTGAGCACAGAATATTTTATATTTTGTTTTTATGTCTGTGTGTATGTGAGCACACATACACTGGGGATAAAACCCAGGGCTTCGCACGTTATAGAAGCACTCTACCACTGAGCTACATCGCAAACACAGATTTTTTTAGGAAGTCTATTGTCCCTTAGCTTTCTTTATATGTATATTTCAAATATTTGTTCCATATTTATCTCAGATGCTTTACTTATGATTTCTTTTGCCATGGAAACTTTTATTTTTATATAAATGTGTCCATATTATCTTCATATTTCAAGTCATTGTGCAGAGAAAGGCTTTGATTAAAGGTTAAAAAATAATTTAGGGGTAGAGTGCTTGCCTAGCTGGCATGTACAGGGCCCTGGATTTAATCCCCAGAACTGCATAAAAAGAATAACCCATCCACTAATATTTGCATGGTTTAAATTTTTATACTTAATTCCCTAATCCACATAGAAGTTTTGTTTGTGTGATGTGAGAGAGAGATCTAATTTTATGGGGTTTTCCTGCAAATGATTAACCAGTTAGAATTCCAGCTGTGGAATTCGCTAGCTCTGTAACCTTGGCTAACTTTTGTGTCTTAGCCAGTTCATCTGTACAGAGGGGACAGTAATAGCATGAATCTCTTTGGCTGTTATTAGGAATCCTTGGCATGATTGATTTCAGTGCCTTTCACATTTACATGATAAATTTACTCACAGAACAGAGTGAATTTTAGTTATTATTATTTCAACCTAACAGAGATTTTACTGATCAGTAAGACAAATACCAAAACTCTAATTGACAAATACTCAGAGAGTGAAAAACAGATAGTTACAAGGAAAAATTTGGATGGCCACTAAACATATCCAGAATAATCTGCATTAAAAAGTAAAGGGATGTAAAATAAGATAATAGTCAGGTACCATTTTTTATTGGCCAACTTGGCAAGCTATTTAAATTTGTTGCATAGGCAGTGCTGGTAATAAGACCAGAGATAAGCACGCTCACATTGTGAAGTAGGCATGTATATTGGTAGAACTGTCTTGAAAAACAATTTGGCAATATAGTCATTTCTTTATACCCTATATATAATTTTATCTCCACAGCTGCTTTGGGAAATAGAGCTACAGATAAAATTTATTTTTATTTATTTATTTTTGTTGTTGTTACTGCTTTTGAGTCAGGGTCTCACTTTGTAGTGCAGGCTGTCCTTGAACTCATTGTATAGCCCAGGCTGGCCTTGAACTCAAGGCAGCCCTCATGCCTCTGCCTCCCAAGTGCTGGGACTGTTTGCACCACCACTCCCGGCTCTGCAGATAAAATTTATTGAAAGTCATTCATTACAGTACTTTTGTTTTATTTTGTTTTGTAATCCAGGTTGGCCTCAAACTCAAGGTGATCCTCCTGCCTCAGCCTCCTGAGTCATGGGAGTATGCTACCACACCAGGATCATATAGTATTTTTCTTGATATAGACAAGTTAGTAACAGTATAACTCTCCAAGAACAGAGGACTATTTATAAATGTTAGTACTATCATATGCAGTTTATAGATGTACCATAGAAAAAAGATTTGAAGAAATACACACAAATATTAACAGTTCTTACAGATTATTGATGGTTTTTATTGTATTCTACAATGAACATATATTAGTTAAATAATTGGAAAAATACAACAAGTGTCCTTTAGGGAAAATAAAATTCCTTTTGGAAATTTTGAACACTTTAGGCACTAGAATCTGCATGTTAATTTAAGAAAATTTCATAACAAAATAGTAAGAGAATAACAATAGTTAATACACTGTGTGTCATGCCAGGCATAGTAGTATAGACCTGTAATTCCAGCACTAAGGGAGCTGAGACAGGAGGATCACTCGCAACTTCAAAGCTAGCATAGACTACACAGTGAGTTCAAGGCTGGCCTAAAGTGTATAGAGACACCCTGTCTCGAAGAAAAAAAAAAAAAAATACACTGTGTATCATAATCTTAAAGGTAGTTACTCAGAGTATAACACATAGACAAAAAAGACTGTTAAAAAGAAGAAACAGCTCAAGTCAGTGTACTATATTCTTTTCATTCTTCTTTGTTGCTCATTTTAAATTAGTATATTAATTAATATAATTGTTTATAATTATTTGTAAAAAAAAACATTTAAGTAGAAGAAAAACAAGATCTCTGTAGAGGTACAACTTGGACCATAGGTGGTAGTTGGTCCAGTTTTCTTTCACTAGTTAAAAACTATAAATTTAAAAAAATTTGTTTTATTTTTTTCTTTTCACAGCATTTTTCTTCACTAATTTTTGTTTGCTTGCTACCTGTCCCCAAAATTCAGTTGCTGTCTCCCACACTGGACATCTGTGTTTTTACAGTAATCTGTAAACCCTCTCACTATACCTCCTCTCTCTCATATGTGCACATGCACACGTAACTCATGTCCTTGCCGTGTGGGTATATACATGTGTTAGGGGTCTTAGGATTATTTTACAAACTGTGATCTCATATGCAGTGTTGGCTTCTTTTTAGCCATTCAGAAGTTACTTCAGTCATGGGATGATCTCCAGCCATATCACTGAAAACAGGTGAGGCTCCTGTGGAGGAAAAGTGAAAGATAATGGAGAAAAGCAGATTGACAAGGGAGGTGGATGGGGGGGGGCAGAAGCTTGAGTCAAGAGTATGCATTGGTGTCAGTCCTCAAAGGGTAAAAAAATCCATGTTCTGTAAATTTGTTTTACTGTTTCTGTATTTTTGTATTTGTCTTATTTTTCTGTAGTTTTATAGTAAAGTGGTTTTAAAACATTATAGCCATGCTCCCCTATAATCCTAGCACTCGGGAGGCTGGGCAGGAGGCTCGCTGCAAGTTCAAGGCCAGCCTGGGCTACAAAGTGAGTTCACGGCCAGCCTGAACTGCATAGCAAAACCCTGTCTCAAAAAGGTAAAAAACAAAAACAGAAAAAAATTACAGCCTACCAAAATCTAAAGAAAGGAATATTTATTCCATCCTCAGCTCAGGAAAGCAAGAGAAAACAGAGTACCCAGAGCTGGGAAGGGGAGCAGCAAAGCCTTGCGGGGAAATAAGAGGGATCCTGGAGCTTTGTGCAGTGGCAGTATTGAAATGAACCAGTAAGGTTTATCTGAGGTGCAATTATTGCTAAGCCGGATCTGCAGTAAAGGCTCAGCCTCCCGAAGAAAATGGGAGTAGCACCAGGCATGTTGGCACATACCTGTGATGCCAGTACTTGGAAGGCTGAAGCAGGAGGCTCACTACAAGTTCGAGGCCACCCTGGGCTATATAGTAAGTTCAAGGCCAGCCTCAACTACATAGCAAGACCTGCCTCAAACTAAATAAATTTTTCGCCAGGATTAATGTGTAGCATAATACTATGCATCCAAAAGGTGAGAATTACTTCTTTAGTTTCCTGAAAAATTGTATTAGTGTATTGCGTACTGTACATCATGCTGGGCGGTGCACGCCTGTAATCCCAGCACTTGGGAGGCTGAGGCAGGAGGATTGCTGTGAGTTCCAGGCCAGCCTGGGCTATATAATGAATTCAAGGTCAGCCTAACTTGTAAAGAAAGGCCCTGTCTCAAAAAACCAAAAAAAAAAAAAAGGAAGGGAAGAAAAGAAGAAAGAGGGGGAAAAAGAGGGGAAGGAGGAAGAGAGCAGAAGAGTTCGGAAGTGGTTCCTTCTGCATTCTCATCAGGACCAGCAGGAGGCACTGATGGAGAGGAGATGGCTCTTTGCCCTTTCTTTTTACAGTGTTAATCCAATCTGGTAAGGAGATAAATTACTCCGCTGGAATTTAGACTCATGTGTTTTATGCCTAAAGCATTACTTAGCTTGCATTGATTTTCAGAAGAAAAATCACTTTTGTATGTTCGTGCGTTTTTTTGAGACAGGGTCTCACTGTGTAGTCCAGGCTGGCCTCCAACTCACAGTGATCCTGCCTCAGCCTCCCAAGTGCTAGGATTACAGGTAGACCACTAAACCTGGTGGTCACATTTATTTTTAACAATTGCCTGAAGCTTAAGTACATTTTAAAGAGGAATGAAATGAAATGCAAAAAATTTTCTACATAATGCACATTAAGAGCAGTTTAAAGAAAGAATAGAAGAGACAATCGTTTAAAATATTCTTTCCAAACCTGTCATGGTGGCACATGCCTATAATCCCAGCACTCAGGAGGGTCACCACAAGTTTGAGGCCAGCCTGGGCAACATAATGAGTTCAAAGCCAGACTGAACTGTATAATGAGACCCTGTCTCAAAAATACATTTTTAAAAATATTCTTTCTATCATTGAGTATTTACTGAGAACAAATGATATACTAAGGAAGAGCGATACATGGTTAAAAAGTAAACAGAACAAATACAGTCTCTGCGCACGTGGAATTTTAGTGTAGTGGAGCAATAGACATTAACCAACAACCTCACAGAAGTACATTTACAAAGAGGAGCAAGAGATAAACGGAGGGGTGGGGGAGAGCAAGGGGACATGAAAGGAATGAAGGTACGTTATATACACGTACCAACTTCTCACAAGGAAGGTAAACATTATGTACTGCACACATACAGTAATTTAAAATGGAAAAAATAAATACTAAAAAAAAGAAATCATTACAAAATCTGGGCCTTAAAAGAACATGTGGTACTACAGTGAAAACTGTAGCTAAAGAGAGCCTGGCCTCCCCTCAGGGGGACATGTACAGTGAGTGGAGATAATCGAGAGAAGGAAGCGTAGCAGAGGTCCTGAGACGAGAGAACAAAGACAGCATGAGCTCAGCTGTAGTGCAGGAGCTGGGGAGAGTGACCTTCTATGGACCTGAAGAAGCTGAGCGACCATGTGTGTTCTTGTTGGCCATGTGCAAGTGCCTTCTCCTGAGAATGGTATAATGACAGTAAATGCTTTGCGTGTTTAAAAAATTACTACTTTTGGAAAATGGATTATAAAGATTGAGTGGATGCAGGAAAACAGGAAATCTTACACATGTTCAGGGAGGAAAGGGTAGCAGCACAAACCAGGATTGTGGCCACATGGTTGGAGAGAAATGGATAAGTTGGAAGGATTTTCAAGAGGTTTATTGGATTGAGAGGGTGAAGAAGCAGAAGGCCATTGCATTTGTTTGGTGACTTTTGCGAGAGCTCTCTGGATGAAATGACTAAGGGAGGTTACTCAGGTTGGGCTGAGCTGTAAGCAGAAAATGGGAGAAGGGTGGAGTCCAGCCAAGAAAGGGGCAGAAGGTGTGTGGTGGAACAGGGGCACACAGGGGTAGTGACGAGACCATGCGCAACTCTTGTCCCCTCCTTCCTGAAAGTTACTCAGGAACTAGTAACTGCTACTGTCTGTCTAGTCTGCCTCTTGCAGCTGTCATACTTTAAAACCTATGTTCCTATTAAAATGTTACATTTGCCGGGCGTGATGGTTCACACCTGTAATCCCAGCACTCGGGGGCGCTGAGGCAGGAGGATCATCACAAGTTCAAGACCAGCCTGGGCTACAAGAGTGAGCTCAAGGTCAGCCTGAACTGCATAGCGAGACCCTGTCTCAAAAAGACAAAAAATTAGTTAATGAATTAATTAAATAAAATATTTAAAACTAGGGTTTTGCTCCATCACGGCATCATGGACAGCAAATTTATGGGACTATGATTTCTCAAAAAGGAGGACAGACTGAAAATATAAACAGCATGGGTACAGTTACATGCTGAAATGGCTGGTCCCTGTGGGTCACTAGGAAGAACCAGAGACATCTGGCATCCCTTCCCGATCTACCAGGAACATTAGATAGACTACTCTGCTCACGGCACAGGACATCAACCAGAAAAACCCTGGAACTCACTCAGCTCTGATGAAGTTGCCCTGGCTAGGAATCTCCTCTAATCACTTGGCTTTTTGACTTGCCGTTCCAGCCCTAATCGACAGCCATTTGTTCTCTTTGGTAATCACTCCACACGAGATAACCTGAATGCTGGCAACTTTAACTTCCCTTCCGAAGGTCACCTGGTACGCAGCACTGGTCCTGGTGGGACCTTTGCCAAACACATGGTGAGTAGCTGGACTGCTTGTTGCTTAATTAGCTTTATAACCAAACTGTAGGAAAAGGCTGGTGGGCAAATGGAATCTTTTCCACTTAGTAATTTGATTTAACCCTGAATGTGAAGTTGTTTTGGAGTAAAAAGAAATTATTAGACACTGTTTTTTTTAAAAGTACTAGGTATGATTTGAAAATGTTTAATTTAGAAATAAAGAAAAAAGGTTTGAACCATACTTTTATGTATCATTTTAAGACGAATTTTATTATGTCCTGTTACATTTAAGGATATAAACAGGGTAGAGTGGTGCACACCTGTAATCTGAGCACTCAGGAAGCTGAGGCAGGAGGATCACTTTGAGTTCAAGGCCAGCCGGAACCGCATAGTGAAATCTTGTCTCACAAAGACCAAAAAAAATATGTATATAAACCTTCATGATCATTATTCTTTTACTGGAAGTACCAGGAGAGCTTTGCTTTCATTATATTGTCTTTTACATTCTTTTTTCTTCTTCCTAAGATGGACTCTATGTAGTTCAGGCTAGCCTTTCACTATGGGAGGTTAGTCTGGCCTGGAACTCACAGTGATCCTCCTGCCTCAGCTTCCGGAGTTCTGGGATTACGGGAATGCACCACCATACCTCACTGTCTTTTACATTCTTTAAAGGAAACATTAGACTTACATATAGGATTCTAATGCTTGTAAGAGTCTATGCTAACAAATTTAATGTGTTTTCAAAATGTTTCTAGCAATAAGGAAAGCTAAGGTGGTAGGTACTGTTATTTTTCCTTTGGGTTTGGAGAACATATGACCCAAGTAGGTGTAGCTTAGTCTCTCTGGACTACACACAGGACACTGGGCTCCCGCCAGCCGGATATAGGACTCCCAGAGTGTGTGTGCTGTCACCATCTTGCTGTTCTGCAAAGGGAGGGCTCAGTTCCATTTTAGTCACCCAGACACTCGCAGAGAACATAGAAAATGCTAGGTGAGCAGGCTTCTCTGGGTAATCTTAATAGTTGACTGAACATGTTTAAAATAAAATAGAGGCAACAATCTGACTCCTGCTGATAGGAAAACAGGAGCCATCCTTTTTCCTACTTCTCTCACTATGACTGAAAACCCTTCACATTTCATATAAAACAAACATAAGCAGACTCTGAGAGATACAGTGGTAGAAAGCAGACTGGCCAGGACCAAAGAAATAAAATGGTGGAGAGTTCTCTGGGCTTTCCTTTTCCCTTATATCCAAACTGATACTGGAGACTATCCAGAGATATTCAGAGGCCTGGGAAAGGTGCAGCCTTGAAAGACAGAAAGCTTTTAGACAACTGCTGTATGCAAACCCCACAGAAAAACTGCCACCCACCCTTACCCTTACCTCTGCCCTGGCCAGACTGGAATTGAGGTACACCTTCCCCACTCTCCTCAGGATGGTGCCAGAGGAGACAGAGAGAAGCCTGGCAGTCATCCCACCTGCAGTAACAAGGGGTCTCTCCCTGGGTGCAGTGCCACAGAGGCCCACACCACCAATGAGCAATATCAGGCTACCTCCAACTTAGCAAGCCCTGTCTCAAAATAAAAAGATGTTGGAACTTAGCCTGGCACAAAAGGCCTGGTTTCAGTTCTCAGGACTGTAAAAACCAAACAAGGCCTCCTCCTTACTCACAGCAATTGTCACCCTCCCAAAGCAGTAGGGGAAGAGAAGGCATCCTGGGGATCTGAACTGCGCGCTCGCGCACACACACACCCACCACCACCGACCACCTTTTTTAGTTCCTGGTTTTTGCTCCTGCTTTGTCTTGATGAGGTGGCAGGACCTCCTGCTCACCCACCAAACCAGTGTCAGAGGAAGCCTTCATAGGAGACTTCATCTCAGCTGGGAAATAGTCTGTGTACTTTAAAAAAAAAAGGCAGTGCCCTTTCTTAGACCCATCAGAAAACCTGGGGTCTTAAGGTCAAGTGCCGCTGGACTGTGGAGAGGTAAATTCCGAGAGTCCCAGCGGTATCTGCTTGCGGGAGCAGAAGCCACTGTAGCTAACACTGCTGGGAATACTTAAACAGTGAATGTAATGAAACTCTCGGGGCTGAACATGGACTCCTGTCAGAGTGAGAGACTCCTGCGGCACCCAGGAGAATTTCCAGTCATGGGTTTTGGTTCCATGAATTTGGCAGGAGAAGAGTACACGTTTTGAAATATGACAAAGACAATAGCAAAGGCCTTGCTAGCAAAGACTACTTTCTAGGACAAGTTTACCCAAGCTGTATTCCGTGTGGGAAAAGGGCATTTCCCAGAATCTGTTGCACTCTAGCTTTCCTTTCTCAGCTAGGAGGGGAAAAAGAAAGCTAAGGAATACTTCAGAAGGTCACAGCCCAGAAACACAGACCCACTTGTAGACTAACGTTAATCGTAAGATTATAGAGCCCTTCCCATCCCTGCTCACTTGAGTGCCACCCCAGCAGGTGCACAGTATAATGGCAGGAATTACTGCTAAAAGGCACAGCTGTATAAGGAGGAATGGGGGTGGGGAACAAGTACTGTGTAAGAACAGTACAGGAAACCAGACCTGTATCCCCAGCACTGGGGAGGCTGAGGCAGGAGGATTGTGAGTTCAAGGCCAGTGTAGGCTACTAGCAAGTTCAAGGCAAGTTTTAAACCCAGAATCCTGTCTGCAAAAATAAACACTAGTACTAGAGGAATGTAAAGCGACTGGCACAGCTACAGCGACAGAAAACATTAAATAGAACCCAGTTCCCAGCCAGATTAACATCAAACCTCACATGAAAGACCTTTTTATCACAGATCATATTACCTGGTACATTATATCTGGTTTTCAACCAAAATTTATGAGGCATGCTAAAAGGCAAGAAAAGGCATTGGGTGAAAAGGGAACACAGCAGGGCGTGGTGATGCACGCCTATGATCCCAGCACTTGGGAGTCTGAGGCAGGAGAATCGCCCCAGGTTTGAGGCCAGCCTGGTCTACATAATGAGTTCAAGGCCAACCTGAACTAATAGTAAGACCCTGACTCAAAAAAACCACCTAAATAAGTAAATAAATAGATAAAATAACTGTTGTGTCTGGGGAAAAAAAAAAAACTTGTGTCTGACAGGGGTGGGGGCATCTGAGTGAGGGGCTGTGATTTCCCCATAGTGACCCTCCCCCACCTTTCTTTGAGTTTTTGCCCTTACTCCAGTAAAAAAATGAAGTGAGGCTTTTAGCCGAAAGTGGGAGAATCAAGACTGATAGAGTACAAAGCAAGAGTTTATTTAAAGTGTGGCAAATGCAGAGAATGCAGAAGAGCCCTCTTAGCGGCAGAGTGGTGCTGCAAGATGGGTGTCCTGCTTGGAATGCCAGGTGACATGAGGTGTGTCCAGACTTACAGGGGCAAACTTCCGTTGCTTGGAATGGGCGAGGCTTTGTTTCTGGGAAGGGGACAAGGTCAATTGGGGATTTCTAAGCACAAGTAACATTCTCATAAGGATACAGCAGGATACATTTTTTTCCAACCACATGGTACACAGTAAGCATGTAATGATGTTACAATCATCAGCCACAGATAAGCATTTGCCCTGGGTTTTTATGTCCCTCTAATCTGCTCCAGATAACTATATTTAATGTGTTAGGGAATCTAGTAAAAAAAAAAAAAAAAAAAAAAAAAAAAAGACAACATGTAGAAGTAGGTGATTAAAAAGCCTTTAAAAAAAATCCCCCCTCCTTTGTTTTGTTTGTTTGTTTGTTTGTTGAAGCAATATCTTGCTATATAGTTCAGGCTAGCCCTGAACTCATTGTGTAGCCCAGGCTGGCCTTAAACTAGCAGCAATCCTCCTGCCTCGGCCTCCACAGTATTGGGATTACAGTCATGCACCACCACACCTGGCTCTTAGAAAAGCCTTTAGTAAGGGAAAATTTGAAAATTCAAGGAACATGTTTTAATTGCAGGAATATCCCAAAATAATAAAATACATTAAACAACAATTAGGAGTACAGCTGGGCAGTGGTAAGGAGGTGGGTGGCTGTAATCCCAGTACTTGGGAGGGTAAGGCAGGAGGATCCCCTTGAGTTCGAGGCCAGCCTGGACTACACAGTGAGTTCAGGGCCAGCCTGAATTGCATGGCAAGACCCTGTCTCAAAAAAAAAAAAAAAAAAAAAAAAAAAAAAATTAGCAACATGTACCTGAGTTTTCACTCAGTATTATGGCAATATTGATTATGTTTACTACAGTGAATTGTAGTTAGAATAAGTCCTCATTGGGGCTGGTATATAGCTCAGTGGCACAAGTGCCTGCCTGGTAAGTGCAAGGTCCTGAGTGTGATTCCTAGTACCAAAAAAAAAGAGTAAGTCCTCATTTCATATCTGTAACTTGAATTCACAGTATTACAGAAAATGTGCTGTATTGGTATAGTGTCCTTAAATTGGGTAAAATAGAAGAAATGAATATTTGTGAACATTTAGTTATTCTTACATACTGTACTAATTTCCATTCCTTCAGTTTTCACATTAGCATTTTTGCATTTTGTAACTACTGTACTAGGAATACTTACGAGGTGACATACATCCATTTCCATCTCTATAAATGAACAATTTAACAAGGAAGATAAATAAAAACTTTAAAACCTGGCAGAACTTACTTTCTCTTTTCAGAGGGTATGTACAGCGCAGTGTGGTGGCACATGCCTGTAATCCCAGCACTTGGGAAGATGAGACAGGAGGATTGCTGTGAGTTGGAGGCCAGCCTGAGTTACATAATGAGTTCAAGTTTAGCCTGCTTTACAAAGCAAGACCCTGTCTTTAAAAAAAAAAAAAAAAAAAGGAGCTATCTACAGTGATAAAATCCAAATGAACGTGGAGAGCCAGGTTTCCTGAATTTGTCGCTGCTCTACAGTTCTGCCTATCATATGGGCCAAGGTCTTTGCTGTGAAATCTCTGGACTGAATATTAATGGGGGTCAAAACTCAAACACATTGTCTCTTTTTCCTTCTGAGTTGTGAATTCATTAGCATCCTGAGCTGACTCATTACCCAATAGCAACCTTATAGTCAGTGTATACGAACAAAACCAAATACACATGCAAAAGATACCTTTGGAAATATGTACATTTAGAAAAAAATTAGATGACACTTTGAAGAAATCAATATGTCATACAACAACTATTGTTAATTTCCTGTCACCTTGTCTGAATTTCAGTATTCCTTGTATTGTTCCTGTGTTATTTTGTAAACGTATGTGTGTTTGTTAATATGTTTCATTCTTCTATTTTTTAAAATTAAAAAGACAAGAAAAAAAATTAGATGAATGTGGTGGTGTACATCTGTAATCCTAGCATTTGGGAAGCTGATACAGGAGGATTGCTGTGAGTTTGAGGCCAACCTGGGCTACATGAGTGTTCAAGTCCAGCCTGAACTACCTGGTGAAACTGTCTCCAAAAAAAAAAAAAAAAAAAAAAAGAAAAAAGAAAATTAAAGGTGGTCTTTTATGTCTTTACAAAATAATAAATCAGTTTTGGTAAAATAAAATTTATTTCCATTAACTGTGTGCTCTTTATTTCTCTGGCAGTATACTCTATGTCTAAGTCCGTGTTCCTTTTTGTTTTTTTTTTTTTCTGACCTCCAGGTAGCACAGTGCATCTCACCAAAGGGACCCCTTGCATGTTCAAGAACATACTTTTTTGGAGCTACTCATGTTCCTTACTTAGGTAAGTTGCTATGAATTGTCATCTCATTAATTGTCATGTCATCTTAATGAATGGCTTTTCCCATGTTATTAACATAAAATTTACTACTTTTCTCAGAAGCTTATGATAACAATTTGCAGCAAGAGTCGATGTGTCTTAACACATTATTCACAGAATGTATTTCTGGCAAAAACCTAGTTCTGCCTGTGGTGTAGAGGTCTGTGCAAGCGTAAGGTCCTGTACTCATTGTCACAGGAAAGGGTGAAATAAAAAGACTTTGTTTGATACAGCAGGAAGACTTGGCCTCGTGCCTGCCTATTTTCTTGTGAAGAAAGTGAGAAAAGCTGTGACAGGATACCTGTTGGGAACTTGCTGTGGCACCATCCAGGAAGGGAAGGCTAACAGGGCTGCCCTGCTTATAGATGTACAGCTGCAGGCATGCAAAGAGATGTAGAAGAAACTTCTAGAATGAATGTGGATCTCAGCATTGCCAGAATGGGTTACATCAGAAGTAGAATTTTCTCTTTGGTGTTGTTGAATAAGCCAGGAAACTGAGGAAAGAGCATGATTTGGATCAGATAATTAAGGAAATAAAGAAGCAGAACTGAGCTTGATTTGCTGATACTGCAAAGTTTAGAAAATTAAAAATAAAACGAAGAAATATCCCAGAGCCTGATTCTGCACATCTTTTTTGTTGCTTAGTGGTAATGCTGATTGGGAAATGTCAGCGGTGAAAGTCCAGGAGGTTACTGAAAGGAGTCAGGTTCCACTGTTACTTGTGCTTACACTGTGTTTAACTGTTTCTAAAAGTGGTGTTCTTGATAGTGCCTTTGAAATAAATTAAGCCCTTCTAGCTGCTTCTTGAAGTGTTTGCATATCCTGTGCTCACACATTCTTTTTGTTTTGGTTTTGTTTTTTTTTTTTTAATTTGTTCATTTTTGAGACAGGGTCTCGCTGTGTAGTGCAGGCTACCCTTGAACTTGTGGCAGTCCTCCTGCCTCAGACTCTCAAGTGCTGGGATTATAGGTGTGCGCCATCACTCAGAGCAGGACTCTTATCACATTCTTTTACATGTACTCTTTCATAGGTGGTGATGACAAGCTGTCTAAGAGTGATAAGCTTCCCAAGAAAACTGAACAAATGTAAGTCTTTGCATTTAATTTTTCTGGCTCTGAGTTGAGCCTCTCAGTTGTGACTGTCCTATTTCCTGTTGAGATCAGCAGTCATTAAACTTCTGGGTATGAGGTAAACCACTCTGTAATGTCCCAGGAGGTCCCCATTACATGGCACTGGGCTTCAAATTCTGGCTGGAGGAACCTGCCAGCTTGCTATCTGTATCTCTCTCTGGGACTCGAGACACTTCCTGTCTGCACACCCCTGCATTTATATGGCACAACTCCCCTTCATATGTTTTCTGCATAGTGCATTTTTTATTGAGGGCTTTTCTTAAAATAAAACATTCTGAAATCTGCTGGGAAAATCTCGAAACCCCATGTGATCTGAGGATTTTTTTTTGCTGGACTTGACACTCAGGCTTGTGGATCAGAGCTGCAATCTGTACAGCCTTAAAAAGGTCCTCCCTTGAGAGGACATCTCCTGTTACCTATGCAGGAAACCAAAGACAGGAAAGAAATTCATTAATGCTGAAGTGACTGAATTCCAGAAAGCATCCTCCCCCAGAAATGTGGACATACAAGAATTTTGTTACATCTCATTAGACACCCCTGCATAAACCGGTGGGATCTAGACTAGTGCTTCCCAGAGGCCACCAGTGACAGGCCAGAAATTAGCTAAGGATTCCTTCAAAATGAAGGCTCCCCTGACCCAATCCCAAAACAGCTGAACCAGCATTCCTAAGGCAGGGCACACAAAAGCTGCACTGGGGACAACGTACTGCAGGGAATACTGTACTCATAGTACTACAGAAAATACGGAGGTAGAGAAAGGAAAATAATAATTCTTCCTCTCTGGCATTACCCAGTATTATCTTGTACACAGTATATCTTTCTGGGCTTTAAAAATACGATGGGAACCAGGCATGGTGGTACACATCTGTATCTCAGCACTTAAGAAGCTGCGGCAGGAGGATTGCCACAAGTTCAAAGCCAGCCTGAACTGCATAGCAAGATCCTCTGTCAAAAAACAAACAAACAAAAAAATTACTGTAAAAGGCTTTTTTCAAGGTTTTTTGTAATTATAATCATAAAGTGTATATAGTTCTCTCTCTTTTTTGTAGGTTTCCTTCACTTTAGCAGCAGCTCAGCCATTTGCTCGTGTGTTGGCGGGTGTCGTCTTGCTTTGTGCCTGCTTGCACTTCCCTGCCAGCTGAGCTTAACCGCTGCCAGCGATCCTCTTTCTGGGTCTTTAGATATTTTGCCAAAGCCAAATGCATTGGTACCCTGCACTGGGAACTGATATTAAGGGGTACTTGGGCCATGTCAGGAGATTTATCAAAGCACAGGCCAGTGGAACTTGACAGAAGCACCATCAAGGGGCACCATCACGGTCACTTTGTGGATCAGTAGCCAAGTATTGGCTGTATATGGACTCCAGTCTGAGGACCTAAATAGAAGTTGGGGTGATGGGGTGCTGACTAGTGTCAAACTGAGTGATGTTTAAATCAAGTGAAGGAAGACCAGGCATGGTGGCGCATGCCTGTAATCCCAGCACTCAGGAGGCTGAGGCAGGAGGATCACTATGAGTTTGAGACCAGCCTGAGCTACAGAGTGAGTTTAAGGCCAGCCTGAATTGCAGAGCGAAACCCTGTCTCAAAAAGGAAAAAATAAATCAAGCAGGGGAGGGGATGTCTTTATATGCAGTTATAAAACTTCACCCAAGGTATGGAAGATTATTCTTTACCCAAAGTGGTAAAGCTTATTGTCAGTGTCCCTTCTGGAGCCCTGTCTGCCATGTGTACCATCTACTCTGGCCAGCCCAGCAATCTTCAGGATGTGTTGACCCAGGGAGTTGTCACTTTGTTATGTGAAATCTGTCCCTTTTTCTTCAATCATCTCTCTTGCCTGCAAAGCGAAGATGTGCTGCAGGAGCAAGGAGGAACCGAAGTTGCTGATGTGTGGTGTGGTGCAGTGGAAGGGTACCAGGCTGAGAATAGGCCAGAATTTAGGTCTACCAGTGATACTGTAGTTCCCAACATCTGACTCCATCCCCAGAGCCCCTGCTGCTGCTTCTATAAGATGAGAGAATTAGATCAGGTCATTTCTGTGTTTCTGCCCATTGTCAAATTCCTATAACCTTCTTCTGGGGCCTTATGGGCTTAAAAATAGACAAATTCTTCATGAGGCCTTGTCACTTCCTTGCCAGGCATCCCTGACCCTTATCCCGAGGGTGAGCCTTTTCTCTCCATAAGTGTCCTGATTGAGAAGAATCTGGGTCTCCTACTAAAATAGTGATTCTCAACCAAGGACAAATCTGCTACCTTATCTCTACCTTCCCCATCCCTGAGCATCACTGACAAGGTCTGGAGATGCTTCAGGTTGTCACAAGTGGAGGTGCTGCTGGCATCTAGCGAGTAGAGGTGAGGGATGCTGCTAAAGGAACCCTCAACAATGCATATGGCAGGCACAGACCCCGCAGCAAAGAATGGTCCAGCCTGAAACAGGGGTGGGAAAACCTTCTATAGAAGAGAACAGAGTTGGATTTTCTAGAGACCTTCCTGACTTCCGGAAGTGAATCATCAGAGAAAAAGAGCAATATTTTGCAGAGAAGATGAGTGATCCCTCAAAAGTACTGCGTTCTCTAGATGACGCAGGCTGCTTGGAGAGCAACCTGCAGCCGTTTAATCTGAATTTCAATGAACCCAGCCCCTGCTCAATCTGGCAGTGTCTCTTGCCTTCTGAGGTTCCAATACCAGGCAGCCTTCAGCAGGTCTGGCAAGGGGCCATGAAGGTGTGGTATGGCTTGGCCCTGGAAAAACTGCAAATCTCTGTCAATATACAGAAGCGAGTCTGGGTCCATGGTAGCTGCTGCTGCCTGCTGAGGGATCAGGGTGCCTGCCAGTTATATTCTGTTGGTCACAAATAGAGAGGGTCAGTCTTTTAGACAGAATTTAGAGAAGCTGACGTTTTAAAAGATGATTTAACAGAGCAAAGTATAAATCAAACAACCATATGACTTCTAAAAGTTTAGACTTTTTTCAGTGAGTTTCATTTTGGATTTTTCTCATTGTTAAAAAAAAATCAGCTAGGCATGATGGTGAACACCTGTAATCCCAGCACTCAGGAGGCTAAGGCAGGAGGATCGCTGCAAGTTTAGGGTCAGCTTGGACTGTGTAATGAGTTCAAGACCAGCCTGAATTACACAGCAGGACTCTGTCTCAAAACAAACAAAAATAAATCAGCTCCTTGAGGACTGTCATTATGTGCATGAAGCTTTTGACAAAACCTCATGATATGGTAGTTAACCCATTTTTTTTTTTTTTTGAAGTAGGCTCTTGTCCCAGATCTATGCTGCTGTTATTGAGGCTGTTTTAGCTGGCATTGCATGTTATGCTAAAACTTCCAGTCTAACAAAGGTAATTTAAATACCGTGTTTCTCTCTCTCTCTCTCTCTCTCTCTCTCTCCCTCCCTCCCTCCTATCTCTCTCTCTCCTATCTCTCTCTCTATTCTCTCTCTTTGTGTAGTCACTATTTTAATGTAAACCACCCTATCTGTTAATCTATTAGTATATTTTCTGGTCCCCTTGCAGTATTCATTTTTATGTGTGCTTGGGCCTCTGTGGCACCTGGCAAGAGATGCCTGTAGAGTGCTGAGCTTCTACTGCCTGTGACCACACTGCTGATGTTTTAAGGGGGACAATTAATCAGTACTTCCTTGTAGATATCAGTTTTGTTTTTTAAAAAGTTACTCTGTACTACATTCTTTGTGAATAGTTTAAACAAAATGCTTTTAGAAGTTAATGAATATAGATCATTCCACCTTGAATTTTAATAAAGTTAGGTAAGTTTGCCTTGAGCTACATGGTTTGGTTTCCTATAATTCAGTATTTTAAGAATCAGCTATGGACTAGAAAGTCTGATTTGCCTTTCCGAGACAAGCAGTGTGTTCTCGCTCTCTGACCATTTTCTTCCTTGATGTTTTGCGGTTAACCTGCCGTGCTGAGTTGGATTCCTAAATCTGACCCAGTAAGGAGATGAGAAGAGTCAGCTTGATGCCTCCCAATGCCAATAGGACCTTTCCTGAAGGAAGCCAGTTGATATTGGAAAGGTTGTGTATGATGTAGATAGCTGAGAGACCGTAGCCTTAGTCACCAGCTCCTTGCCATCTCCCCTCCTCACTGAACTTGAATCCCAGCGCTGCTGTGGTGCTTCTCAGCCCTTTAGCCACTACCATGACAGCAGGCCTGTGCACAACCATGGGACCTCCTTCAATATCAGTTCTCATGCCTTTGATTTCTCACTGATCTTCTGCAGCTCTAGCTACTTGAATATTATTTGCATCTGGCAGAAAGTGAGGGCAGTGGGCCCTCCTTCAGAGCCAGGGGAGAGGGGAGGAGAAAGCACTTTTCTAGATATTACATGCCATTGGCATCACCGCAGCTGCTTCGGTCTTCGGCAGATCAGGTACCAATGCCCACCTGCCTGAGTGCAAGTTTTTCCTGTGAACTCAGCCTGAAGAAAGGAGCACCTGTTTCCCTTAACATGACACTTCCACTTTAATCTCTTGATGTATGCAAAATAGTCACGTAGGGAGAAGACATTGTTAGTCGGGCTATTCCTATCAGTATGGGTACTTTTTGCTGTCTACATGCTAATTGTCTCTGTTTTGTTACTGATTTTACAGGCAAAGGAGTTAGCAGAGCAGACCCTGGGATCTGGATTAGATTCCTTTGAGTTGGTTCAGTTTAAGACAGCACTACGGTAAGCAATGGCTGTTTTCTTTATGAGGAATTTTTTTGTTTGTTTTTTTAAAGACTTTTGTCCCTTATAATTATGTTTCATCTGCTTTTTGAGAAATGTTCTGGTAAAATACGGAATATATAAAGAATTATTGACAATCAGGCCTTTGTTTGAGAAGCCAAGGAGTCCAAGAGAGGAACTACACCAGGAAGAGTCACACATATGTTCTGAGGCTAGAATGTGATGCAGATTGATACCAAAACCAAGTGACACTCTGCCGTGGTGCTGCATGCCCAGCCCTTTTTATTTTTTATTTTCAGACAGGGTTTTGCTAAATTGCCCAGGCAGGACTCATACTTTCAATCCTCCTACCTGGCCCTTCACTGTCTCTTCCCGACAGAGTTTATTGAGAAATTTACCTTTGAGAAAATAAATTTTATTTACTTTCCAGCTGTGTTACCTCAGGCAAAATAGGTAACTCTGTAACTATCTGGGTTTGTTTGTTCCTTTGTTTTCCCAGTACTGGAAATTGTGCCCAGGGCCTCGAAATCTAGGCAGGTGCTGTACCACATGACACAGAGCTATATCCCCAGCTCTTTTTATTTATTTTTGAAACCGTCTTGCTATTTTTGAAACAGTTGCTCAGGTGGATCCTTTTTCCTCAACCTCCTGCATAGCTGGGGTTACTGGTGTATACCACTGTGCCCAGCTTACATCTGTCTTCTGAGCTGCTCACCTTGTAAAGTCATTGGGCATATTGACCTTAGCTGCTATTGTACTAAGGTCTTCTCATATCTTAAACAGTTATTCTCCTCCTCCTCTTCCTCAGGCTCTTGGCCAGGCCATTCTCAACCCCAGAGCCTAGGCCTAAGGCCCTAAGTGGGGGAAGATGCAAGGGGAAAACACCAAGCAATGGGAAGAGAGTCTCCTAGGGCCAGTCCTCCACTTAGAGCCCCATCCCCTTCCCAACACAAGAGCTACTTCACCGAGGATTCAAACTGCATCACATTAGCAGAGCTGCTCTGAGAGGAAAAGGAACACAAATCACACAGAACGTTAGTGTTACTGTGTTTCTTAAGGCATGAAATTATTCAATTTTAAATTTTCCTTTTACAAAAAGAGCCAGTCCAGATGGGTTTTTGGTTATTTCTCCGCTCTGAAGTGCTGACTCTGTCTGCAGCTCTGCAGCAGTGAACTGTGAGTAGCAGAAACATGCCCTCTTCTTGGACACAGAGCAGTCCTGGCTGCTTGTCACAAAGTCAGTAAAGAGGAGGTGGGTCTCTTCAGTATGTAGATGTTGTGGGTCAGGAGGCCCTGCGCAATAGAGCCACTCCCAGTTTGCAGTGGGCGTTCTTTCTGCTCTGGGCAGTCCTGAGAACTGTATGCTACACCTGCTGCTCACACGGGACTGTAGGACAGGTATCTAAAATATCAAAGATAAATATGTGAAGCAGAGATGGCACATACCTTATTGGGTGGCTTTGAGAGCCCAGAGCAAGCAAACTGCAAAAGCAAGTGTCTGAGGAGGGTTCCAACTCAGTAATAAGCAAAAACAGACTGACTTCTTTTTTGTTTTGTTTTTGATCTCTAGCTCCAAGATAGCTTTTCATATACATGCTGTGAATAATCAAGGAAGGTAAGTGTGTGGTTGTAGGGCCTCTTCCCATGGGGCAAGGTTGGGAAGGTAAAGAGAGGAGAACAGCGTAGTAGCTGCTTAAGCTGTTGGTCTTCTCACACTTCCACCTCTGGCCAACGCCCTACTCTGGACTTGGACTTGAGCTGGCAGTGTTCAACTGAACCCTTGTACCCTGAGTACCTCCTGCCCAAGGCTGAGAGCAAGGACAGGGGTGGGTATAATTCACTCCAGGGACCCATGTGCTGTTTCTACATGCAGTCACCATAGTGTGGTTTATTTTTTGTTTTGGTTTGGTTTTTTTGTCTTTTTTGAGATAGGGTCTCACTATGCAGTTCAGGCTGGCCTTGAGCTCACTTTGTAGCCCAGGCTGGCCTTGAACTCACAACGATCCTCCTGCCTCAGCCTCCTGAGTGCTGGGATTACAGGCCTGCATCACCACACCTGGAAGTGTGGGGTTTTTTTATTTATTTATTTTTGGTACCAAGAATCGAACTCAAGACCTTGTGCTTGCCAGGCAGGCACTGTGCCACTGAGCCCTATCCCTGTCCCAACAGTGTTTTTTTAAATCCCTGAGAGAAATTAAAGTTGTGAGTTGTCATTATGAATTTTAAAAAGAGAACACTGCAAATTTCCATACAGTTAAAAATTCTTTAATGTGTCTCTTTCCTATCTCTTTCTTCTTCTAGAATTGTTCCTCTGGACAGTGAAGATAACTTATCCTTTGTGAAAACGGTAAGCAGAATCTTTATGAACTAGCTGGCTAGGAAATGGGTTGTAGAGGATCATCTACAAGGGGAGACAGTGGGTTCACATGTCTAACATGTCCTCAGAGCTTTGAAGCCACAGCATCCCCCACTTCCTGTCCCCTCATAGGTCAGGGGAATGTCACTCCTTGTGAGCAGCCCAGAGGGCTAACCCCTGTGCACAAAGACCACAACAATACAAGGAACAGCAGAACTGCCAACCCCATTACCACCACAGTGTGCCTTATTCTTGCCCAGGGCCAGGTAGACCCCAAGGGTTCCCATCATTGGTGAGGGAGTCTTGCTGCAAAGCATGGATGTGCACACTTCTACATCCATTTCCTGTAAGGCTTCTTGCACCTGCATCTGGTGGTCAGAGATAGGAACACAACATTCCATATACAAGAGGGCATGAGTGCCTCCTCGTGCTACAGTCAGCAAATCAAGAACCATGCGGTTCTACAAAACCATCTTTCTCATTTGAGACATCTTTGAGTAGTATCAAAGCCTTCCGTGTAACATTGTAGACCTGGGCTATATGTTGAGCAAGGGCTTCAACTTGAAGGGCCAGGTCTGTGGTCTCTGCCTCTGGCAATATCAGATAGGCCATCGGATAAAACCACAAGGCCAACTATCTAGTACTGTGCCACCTGTGGTACACAGTGTCCCAGTTGCGGGGCGTGTCTGTAAGGGTGGGTCTAATAGTGCCCTTGACATAGGAAAATCCCCCAGTGTAGTGTCCTGTCAAGTGTGTGAGTAGGTATGGCCACCCCATGTCACCTATAAGGCTTCCGCAGTGGGCTGATCGGTGGGCCCCGTACCAGTGAGCTTATGGCCGTCCCACTACTTGTGTGTGTCAGTAATCAGCATTGTACGGTTGCAGAGGTCAGAGTGTATCCACCCCATAGTTCAGTTCCCCACCGACACATTCACCTGCTGAATACGAAGTGCAACTGCATCCAGCAGTGTTACTGGAGTTCCTGTTATCCACCTCCAGCCATGTACTTAGAGGTCCTAGTCTCTGTGGGGTGGTTGTGCTCTTTTTGGGTCAGCACCTTGATGGCCTGATGCTATTGATCCCAGGCAGAACCAGTCCAGGTTTGTTGTCAGTCCAACTGAGCAGGAACACCAGCGCAATTCTCCATGGGAAGCCCTCAGCCTCATTGTTGCTTAGGAGTTCAATACACTCTCAGTAGTGTGATTGTTGGTGTACACAGGAAAATGGATGTGCCCAGGCAGCAAAGCTGTTAGTGTGACTCATCCTGGTCAGAAGGGCAGGGCTTAGAATACCACACCTGGGTTCCCATTGCTAATGGGGATAAAGGAGTTGGGACTAGGTCCACCACCCCAAGGGGATAGGCCAAGCAGCCACAGCATCACTCTTTGAGAATGGTGGCACTGGCATCAGGCAGAGAGCACACTGAGGCCTTTGAAGGCCTTGTTGAAGTCCAGGGCTATACCTCTATAGCATGCTTGAGTCCTTTCCCCCAGGGCTCCAAGAGTTCCCCATCAGAGGGTCTGTGTGCCAATCCCAAGGATTTTTTACTATATCCAGCTATTACATACCAGTTTTCTATAGTAGTTAGCTTTCCTGTTGCTGGACACAATGCCCAACACTCACAACTTAAAAGTGGAAGGGTTTAATTAGCCTCACAGTTTCAGGAGATACAGTCGATGGTCAGCAAGCTGCGAGATGCAAACATCATAGTGGAATGGCCTGATGAGCAAAGCTGGTTAGTTCATTGCAGTTGGGAAGCAGAGCAGAGATACAGTGCCAGAGAAAAATAGTGAAGGGATCGTATATAGCACCCAAGGGCACACCTCCACGACCCACCCAGATCACACGCAGAAGTGTACTTCACTAACTTGCTAGGTGTTTCTTGATCCAGTGAAGGTGACATCAGTATTACCAGTCACAGGTGGACTACTATATATAAAGGAGCAGGTGTTGACATGTACTTAATATATCCATGAAAAACGTGTACTAAATGAATGACCAGGTTTCCAAACGTGTTCAGAACTTAGGCCTAAAGCAAAGAAGCTGGTGAGAATACAATAATGGGGGTGGTGTATAAAGTGGATGTGTAAAAAATAAAAAATAAAAAAAAGTAAAGTGTATGTGTACATAGAAGCCTAGAAGAAACACCCTAACTCTGATAGGCTGAGAACCAGTCATAATTAAGAATGAAGACTGAAAAAAAAAATGAAGGCTGAGTTGCCTCTTAGAGGGAAAACAATTTGAGAGAATTTATGGAAACACACAGATACTTTTCTATCCCATTGTACCTCTGATCAAGGAGCAATGCAGGGAATGCCTGGGTGTTCCAGAAGCCATCCCCCACTTCAGGAGTATATTTCAGAGCATCTCCAGTTTTCCTCAGAAACTCTCCAGTATTCTCTTGCCATTTGTTTCAAAGCAGTATTTTTTGTGGTCTGCTTTCAGTGGATCTCTCAGTGAAGAATGTGGGCTGGCAACTGGTCTTAACGCTGGTTTCTCACTTGATGCAGGCTTGTATGACTGTCTATGACATTCCTGACTTGCTGGGAGGAAGAGGATGCCTAGGATCTGTGGTCTTCTCAGAATCGTTTTTGACATCTCAGATGTTGGTTAAAGAAAAGGGTAAGTGTATGTCTTTGGGAAACAAATCTTACAAATTAATTTATTAATTTTGACAAAATTAACAAACAAAGCAAAACACAGTAGACAAATAGTAAATAATTTATGAGGAGTTCTTGCAGATCAGTAAGACAGAGATATACAGGGCTAAGGATATAGCTCAAGGGTAGAACTTGCTTAGCATGTGCAAGGCCCTAGCTTTTTTTTTTTTTTTTTTTTTTTTTGAGACAGTGTCTTGCAGTGTAGTTCAGGCTGGCCTCAAACTCAAAGTGATCCTCCTACCTCAGCCTCCCGAGTGCTGGGATTACAAGCATGTGCCACCACTCCTGGCAAGGCCCTAGCTTTAACCCCCAGTACTGGGGAGAAAAAAGAAAAGAGAGAAATAGGCAATCCAATGGTAAAATGGTCAAGAAATATGAACAGGCTGTTTATAGAAGCAGAAAATGAAAAAATAGGAGATTCGTAGATGTATGAGATACCTCACAGCATCAACAATCATCAGTTTAGAAGAAATTTAGAACCATAATTATGTTATTATGTTATATCATTCTTGTTACTATTCTTTACCCATTATGTTAGCAAACTATGTTGTAAAGCCAAGCATGGTGGCACACCCTGTTAATCCCAGCACTTGGGAGGCTGAGAGAAGAGGATCGCTAAGGCCAGTGAGACTCTCTCTCAAAAAAACAGAAAAAAAAAAAAAAAAAAAAAAAAAAAAAAAAACAGTTACAGAATGACAGTATTCAGTGCTGGTAAGATGATCCTGATAATAGTCTTTGGTTT